ACCAACCTCGCCAAAGCTCTGAAGGCATTACGGCCCTCGCCTATCTCGCCACCCACTACAGACACCTTGGCGATCCTTCGCCAAAAGCACCCACCAGGCGAAACTGAAATCCCTCAGCACCTACGCGGGACACCTGGAAACCACCTTGGAATAGATCGCGAGGCGTTTCGCGCGGTCCTCGCCAGGTGCCCAAGGGGGGTGAGCGCAGGGCCATCGGGAGCCTGCTTCGAACATTTCCGAGATCCAGCTCTCTCAAACCACCATGTATTCAACTTACTACTAGACGCAGTGAATGTGACGCTAAGAGGCGACCTGGCGTCAGCATCACGCGACCTCTTACTGCCAAGCAAACTCATCGCCCTAGCCAAGCCTGACGGTGGCGTCCGCAAAATAACGGCAGAATCTGCCTTGCATGCCCTCGCCGTCGATATACAGGAGTTTTTTCTCCCTCTGCAATTTGGAGTGGCTGTCTCGGGGGGAGCCGAGTGCATCATTCATGCAATCCGCACGTATTACAGACGATGTCTTGGAGGCGTTCCCCGAGAACATCGTGCTCCAGCTGGATGTGGAAAACGCTTTCAACAGTGTTTTCCGCCACAGCTTCCTAGAAGTTCTCCACTGGAGCGGCCTCCAGCGACTCCTACCCCTTGCCCTCATGCTGTATGGCCAGGAGTCACCCCTCCTCGACGCAGCATTCGGGGGGCGACTCTCACCAGCAGCAGAGGGGTCCGCCAGGGGGGCCCCCTAGGTCCCCTGCTGTTCACAGCCGCCATCCATCCAGTACTGACCCACGTCGCCACAGCCTGCATGGATGTTGCCGTGCTGGCTTACGCGGACAACATCATGGTGGTGGGTCCACCGGCAGCAGCAGCGGAGGCGTTCAGACACCTTCAAGAGGGCCTGGCCAAACGCGGACTCAGGTGCAACCTATCCAAGTCCGCCGGCTGGTCACCTGAGCCAGCCAGCCGCGTCCGCCTCCCTCCAGGCGTGCCCATCGCCGAGGGCGGACTCCGCATCCTTGGCAGCCCTGTGGGCGACCGGACGTTCTGCGCAAGCTTTTTGTGCAAGGAACTGCGGGAGGCAGCCGCACCCCTGCCCCTGCTGGGGGATCTTCACCCCCAACACTCCCTCCTCCTTCTCTCCCGCTGTGTATCCTGCAGGGCATCCTTCCTCCTCTGATCCACTAAAGCCGACACATTGCCGCTGGAGGAATGGCGCACATGGAGTGAGGACCTGCTACGGAGAGCCCTCTCCGCAGCCCGCATTCCGCCCCCCCGAGTGGAACTAGAATGGAGTCTCACCTGGTGCCATGCAACTCTGCCCATCACGCTCGGGGGGCTGGGGATCATCGACCCGGTATCCGAGAGTCCGGCAGCTTACTTAGCCTCCACCCTGGCAGCTTCACAGCTGCTGTCTATGATGGATCCCCAAGCTGGCCTCCTCCAGGAAGCCCTCTCTCACCTGAAAGCAGGGGTGACAGGCATGCTGCCCCTCTATGCTGTGGTCCAAGACATGGAAGGGCGCTTACCCGATGCCGCCAAACAAGCTCTGGCGGAGGCCCGCACCCTTCCGCCCAAGGGATCCTTACAACAGGCCCTCTCGCACTCCATTAACACCTGACGCGCAGAGGAGCTGTTCGCCGATAACTTGCTGGATAGACCCGGGCTGGAGAACGCCCACGGCACTCAACTCACCAGCCTGCGCAGCACAGGGGCAGGGGATTGGCTGCTAGCCATCCCCTCCCGCCCAGACCTCTCTTTCTCCCCCGGCCAGTTCGGCACGGCGCTGGCCTTCCACCTCGGCCTGCCCCACCCAGTCCCAGGGGGATGCTCGTGCGGGGAGGCAGAGATATCGGATCCCAGCCTACCTAACCACATTTTGCAATGCAACCAGGGCGGTTACCCCAAGCGCTTGCACAACGCCTTGGTATATGCGACTCTGCGTATGGCGCGGGAGGCGGGTTTCATTACCTACCACGAAGCAACCCAATTCACCACCCCGACCAACAGGAAGCGGGCTGACCTGGCGGTGCGAGACTTCGAAAGCGGCGCAACGTGGGTCACCGACGTTACCATGACTGACCTGGTGCTGCAGCGCCATGACCTGGACGCCGGCAACCTACCCCGCTGGGCAGCAAGGGAGGCCGGGCAGGCCAAGGGCAGAGAATACGAGGACCGCCCTGCATACGTCGGCTTCTACGCTTTGGCCGTCAAAACTTACAGGGCTTTGGCAGCACCAACGGCGGAGTTCCTCGAGCTACTAGCCGAGCACTCTGCCCGGGTCCGTTTCCGTGCTAACCCGCTTACCACACTGGCCAGGAAGCTGCATTGTCACTTCCGGCAGCGGTGGTCAGTGCTGCTCCAGCGGCTTCAGGCGAGCACGCTTATCACCAGAGCCGGGGCAGCAATTGAGGCTGCTTACCCGCAGCCGGCGGAGGGCCCCTGGGCACCTCACCTGGGGGATGTGTATGACACTTTGGAAGATGTGGAGCCTTAGTTCCTGCCCGGGGAAGGGGGTGGCATAGCATTGGGGCGGCTAGTGCCGTGATCGCATTGGCCTACCCTTCTAGGTTCTCCCATGCTCAGGTTTTGGCCCTTGGTGGCTTGACTCTTGAACTTCCTAGTTTGTACTCAGGATTAATCCAATGAGAAGGACCGCTTGAGAGAGAGAGAGAGAGAGAGAGAGAGAGAGAGAGAGAGAGAGAGAGAGAGGAGAGAGAGAGAGAGAGAGAGAGAGAGAGAGAGAGAGAGAGAGAGAGAGAGAGAGTGGCAAAGAGAGGAGCAGAGAGAGAGAGAGAGAGAGAAATATATATATATATATATACATATATATATATATATAGAGAGAGAGAGAGAGAGAGAGAGAGAGAGAGAGAGAGAGAGAGAGAGAGAGAGAGAGAGAGAGAGAGAGAGAGAGAGAGATATATAATTGCCTTTATTTCCTCCTCATTTCTCAGTTTAGTTTTGGACTTTGGTGTGTTCCCTCTCCACCAAGGTGGCGGCTCGCGCCGGCGGCCTAAGGCCGCGCGAAGAGTGACGGGGTGGACAGTGGTGGACGTGTTCACTATTGGCAAGGGAATACATGCACGAACAATGCCTACGGCTAGCCTACACACCCCCACCAATGGCGTGCTAACTCCGCCACCCGCTACTGCAGCCACAACAGCTACTATGTCATCGCCACCATCACCAGGCGTGACGCGGACGGATTCGGGGTACCAGGCATCTACGGGACGCGGGCAGCGCGGGCAACTGCCCCACGGACTGCCCGCAGGGCAGCCGCGCAGCCCCCAACAAGAGACAGAGCGTGTTCCTCGTCCAGGGCCGGCATCAACCCCTCAGCGGCAACGGGGCAGTCGGGCCAAGGGTGCCTGGTGACGGCGGGGCAGGGGGAAAATGCACCGCCGCCCACACCAGACGTGCCACTGCCTCTTGCGCGGGAGTGTGCTGGCGGCGCGACAGCACCAGTTCGCGGGCGACGAGAGGCCAGCGGTCAACCGCCTGTTGCAAGCACTCCAGCACCTCTGCCAATGAGTGCAGGCAATCGAGCAGTGCCTGGAGCTGCTGTGACGGTGCTGCAGGTGGAGGCGGCACTGGACGGTGGAGGTGCAGCTTCTGGAATGGCAGCACGTCGATTTTGTGCTGCTGCCCAAAAACGCCTGTTTTGGCTTGCACACGCGCAGCCTGGGAGCGCGCGCGGACTAAACGCTGGCGACGGGAGCTGGAGCTGCCTGCTCACGAAGCAGAACATGTGAGGCCTCCTCCAGGCAATTCCCCCAGTAGGCGGCCTCCTCCTCCTGTGCCAAGACAGGCGGAGCAGCGGAGGGCTGGGAACGCCAGCGACCACTGGCAGCAAGAGGCACGCGAAACATTGCCGCGGACGTAGGCAGATCGCGCGGTGCAAGAGACGGAAGGACCGGTGGGCGAGCCGCGAAACGATGGGGCGCACGATGGGGCTGCACTGGAAGGTGCTGTGAGAGAGGCAGCTGTGCGAGAGGACGCGACGGCAGGGAGGGCTGATGCGACTCCGGATGACAGTGATAGGGAGCCGAACCGCATCACTAACCAGCCCACTGGGTAGGAGAAGAGGGTGGTGGCGGAGCGCGAGCACGACGCGCCGAGAACTGCACGCACCGACGGGCGAGAACCTTTGGCGGGTGGTTACCAGCTGGGACATCCATCTGCTCCAGGATTCGCGACACCCCTTTTTGGTTCGATATCTCCCCCCCAAAATCTTGGAAGTTTTTGCGGAGTGCCTACTGATCCCCCTCCAGCGCATCAAACTACACCCCGAATGTGTGGGTGGGTGGCGAATGCTGCAGTACCTACCCAGACTGACACTCAGCCCGTCACCCCCGCACGAGCGATGCTGGGTGTCGCTGACTCAGCGACTCCATGATTTCCGTGTGGGAAAATGGGCAGAACTTTTTGCAGCTACTGTGCACTCAGCCGCTGACACCCAACCTGCCCGCCACCAGCCAAATTCGGCTGGTTTCCACGCGCGGGCAGAAGGTTTGGTTCGAAAATCGAACCTGACGAAAGCTCTGAAGGCATTACGCCCCTCGCCAAGCTCGCCATCAACTGCGGAGACCCTGGCGACACTTCGCCAAAAACACCCTGCAGCTGAGGGCGAAATTCCAGAGCAACTGCGCGCAACACCTGGCAACCAACTGAATGTCGATTGCGAGGCTTTTTGCCAACTCCTAGCGAAATGCCCCAAGGGTGTGGGTGCAGGGCCATCAGGAACGTGCTTTGAACACCTGAGGGATGCTGCTCTGTCCAACCCTCAGGTGTTCAACCTCCTCCTCGACGCCATCAACCTGACGATTGGGGGACACCTGGCGTCAGCAACACGCGATAAACTGCTGCCCTGCAAGCTCATCGCGTTGGCCAAGCCAGGCGGAGGTGTGCGCCCCATCGCCATCGACGAAAAATTTCTGCGCATCGCTGCAAAAGCCGCGCTACACGTATTGAGCGTGCTTATTCGGGAGTTATTCTTGCCTCACCAATTTGGCGTGGTGGTGCCGGGGGGGGGGGCAGAGTGCGTCATCCACATCCAGGCTTTCCCAAGCCATGTCGTCCTGCAGGTTGACGTCGAGAACGCTTTCAACAGCGTCCATCGACCGCACTTCTTACAGGTACTTCACTGGAGCGGCCTGCAGCCCTTGCTGCCGCTGGCCCTCACTCTCTACGGCACACCTTCTCCCCTCCTTCCCCATGCTGCCTTCGAAGGAGAGACGGTAACGAGCAGCAGGGACGTGCGCCAAGGGGACCCCCTCGGTCCCCTACTCTTTGCGGTGGCTATCTAGCCCCTCCTCACCCAGGTGGGGACCAGCCACCCTGAGGTGGCGGTGCTGGCATATGCCGACGACATCACCATCGTCGGCCCTCCAGACACCGCAGCTGCCGCCTTCGCGCAGCTCCAAGAAGGCCTCCAAGAGTGTGGCCTCCGGAGTTCCCTGAGCAAGAGACCCGGCTGTTCGCATGACCCCGCTAGCCGTGCCTCTCTACCGGTTGGGGTGACACGGGCAGAAGGGGGAGTGCGCATTCTGCACAGAGTTCCTGCGCAAGGAACTCCTCCAGGCAGCAGAGCCGCTGCCCCTCTTGCAGGGCATGCACCTGCAGCACACCCTTCTGCTTCTAGCCAGGTGCATATCCCGCCGGGCCTCCTTCCTCCTCCGCTCCAACCCCACAGACGGGCTGCCCCTAGCCGACTGGCGGGCATGGAGTGAGACCATGCTCTGCACAGCGCTCACTGCTGCCCGCATCCAGACACCACAAGACGAGCTCGTGTGGAGCCTCACGTGGCAGCAGGCAACCCTCCCAGTATTCCTGGGGGGTTTGGGGCTGATAGACCCCACCTCCGAAGGGCCAGCAGCCTATCTCGCATCCACGGTGGCGGCAGCCGCGCTGCTCTCCTCCATGCGGCTGGCGGACGGCCCACTCCGACAGGCCCTCAACTTCCTAGGGGCCGGCAGTGAGGAGACCCTGCCCCTGCACACCCTCATCAAGGACCTGGAGACCAGGCTGCCGGAGGCCGCCGGGCGGATGTTGGGAGAAGCCCGGGTAACACCTCCGAAGGAACCACTCCAGCACCTCCTCTTGGGCGACATCAACCACCACCGAGCGGAGGAGCTGTTCGGGCACAGGAGCAGGGGATTGGTTGATGGCAATGCCCACACGCCCAGATCTCACCTTCTCCCCGGGCGAGTTTGGCACGGCACTCGCCTTCCGCCTTGGCCTACCTCTGCCAGTTTCCGGCGGCTGCTCTTGTGGCAAGGAGTCCATCCCCGACCCTAGCCTGCCCAACCACGTACTACGGTGCAGGCTGGGGGGGTATGTCAAGCAGCTGCACAACCTGCTGGTGTTCTCAACCCTGCGCATGGCCCGGGAGGCGAAATTCTTCACCTACCACGAGACCACGCAGTTCTCAACTCCCTCGAACCGAAAAAGAGCCGACTTGGCGGTGCGGGATATGGAAACAGGGGCCACTTGGGTCACTGACGTGACAGTGACTGATCCTGACCTGCAACGCTGTGACCTGGACGCCGGTGGCCTACCTGGATGGGCGGCGAAGGAGGCGGCGAGGGGCAAGGATAGGGACTACGAGGACAGGCCGGCCTGGGTGGGGTTCTTTGCGCTGGCGGTGGAGACATACGGGGCCCTAGGGCCGTCCACCGCAGAGTTCCTCCGCATGCTGGCAGGTCACTCAGTGCTGGTACGATTCCGGGCTAACCCGCTCTCCACCCCACCCAAAAAACTGTACTCACACTTCTGGCAGCGGTGGTCGGTGCTGCTGCAGTGGGTGCAAGCATGCACGTTGATTACCCGGTCCGGGGCGGCGCTGGAGGCGGCCTACCCCAGCCCGCCTCGGACCCGTGGGCACCCTACCTTGGGGACCTGTTCTCTACCTTGGACGTGGAGGATCCGTAGACCCTGGGGGGAGGGGGGTTGAGCCGGAGGGAACAGGGTGGTAGGGGAAGGGCTGGTGCATAGGGGAAGGATAGGGGATTGCGGGGTGTAGGGACATGGTCCTCTGCTTCGTACGGGTTACCTAGTGGTAGGCACCTCCCGGCTGTTTAGTTGTTCCCATGCTTTTATCAATGAGCATGACCCGTTGAGAGAGAGAGAAAGAGAGTGAGAGAGAGAGAGAGAGAGAGAGAGAGAGAGAGAGAGAGAGAGAGAGAGAGAGAGAGAGAGAGAAAGAGAGAGGGAGAGAGGTAGAGAAAGAGGGAAAGAGGTAGAGAGAGAGAGAGAGTGAGAGAGAGAGAGAGAGAGAGAGAGAGAGAGAGAGAGAGAGAGAGAGAGAGAGATAGAGAGAGAGAGAGAGAGGTAGAGAAAGCGAAAGAGGCAGAGAGGTCGAGAGAGAAATCGAGAGAGAGAGAGAGAGAGAGAGAGAGAGAGAGAGAGAGAGAGAGAGAGAGAGAGAGAGAGAGAGAGAGAGAGAGAGAGAGAGAAATTGAGAGAGAGAGAGAGAGAGAGGGAGGGAGGGAGGGAGGGGGGGAGGAAGGAGGGGAGGAGAGAGGGAGGGAGGGAGGGAGGGAGGGAGGGAGGGAGAGGGGGAGGGAGGGAGGGAGGAGGGAGGGAGGGAGGGAGGCAGGGAGGCAGGGAGGCAGGGAGGCAGGGAGGGAGGGAGAGAGGGAGGGGGGGAGGGAGGGAGGGAGGGAGGGAGGGAGGGAGGGAGGCAGGGAGGCATCACTCCATTGCAAACACAACACTTGATATCAACACCATTACAGAACGATTAACCCATACCATGCAATCCAACATAACTCAAAAGCAATAAACATGCAGGCACATATGATAAACAAGGGGGAATGGGAGGGAAAAAGACAGAGGCTCATTGCATAACATACCAAAAGCTCTTTTCAGAGACTTAAGTCCCATTTGTATGGAATACTTGAGTACTCAATCATTGCTGGCATAGTTGTTGCACTCACCCCCTTCCCCCCCTCCCTCGCCCCTTTCCCCCCACCGCCTTGGCTTTCCACCCCTCGTTCTCCCCCACCTCTCCCCCGTGCTGTCCCCCCCGCCCCCTCCCTTGAACGTCACGATGCACAAAACTAGATATAAGGGCCTACAACCTGCATGAAATGCGACAAAAAACACACATCCAAAGAAGCTATAAAGCAAGTGCAAGCGAGAAGCGAGTGCCAAGTCTAGCAACAGCGGCAATGGCAGCAGTTTTGCAGCCTAGCAATAACAGCACTGGCAGAAGTTTTCAGCCTAGAAACAGCAGTAGTGGCAGCATTTTTGCAGCCTAGAAACACCAGCGAAGGCAGCGGTTTTGCAACCTAGCAACAACAGCAGTGGTAGCAGTATTGCAGCCTAGCAACAGCAACAATGGCAGCAGTTTTGTATCCTAGCAACAGCAACAGTGGCAGCATTATTGAAGTCTAGCAACAGCAGCAATGACAGCAGTTTTGCAGCCTAGAAACAGCAGCAGTGGCAGCAGAATTGCAGCCTAGCAATAGCAGCAATGGCAGTAATTTTGCAGCCTAGCAACAGCAGCAGTGGCAGCAATTTTGCAGCCTAGCAACAGCAGCAACCTAGCATGAGCAGTAGCAGCAACCTAGCAGGGCAACACAGCACCAGCACCAACAGCAGCAGCAGTAGCAGCTGATGCCTAACAACAGCAGCAGCCTCCTATTCCTCACTTCCGAAGGCATTTTCAGATGCAAGGAGCACGTGACTACGTGAAACAAGAACGAGTATGAGAAGTGCAAAGGAAATGCCAGAAGCGGCTGATCTTGGCGTGTGGTAGAGGTTGAGGGCTCACAGTAAGTTGCGAGAGGATGCGATTTCGGGTGGTGGATGAGCTCTTGCACAATGCCCTGAGAAAGCAAGTATGAAAGGACACAAGAGTGAAACGAGGGGGAAGGAGGGGAAGCAAAAGAAAAGAAAATAGGAAAATAGGAAAATAGGTGAATGGGAGGTTATGCAAACTAGATGGAAAGAAACATTGTGCAAGGGGTACAAAGCATGAAGGAGGACGAGAGGGACGGAAACGGCCATAGTGCGAATGAAGAAATGACAGCTCTTCCAAGGCGGTGTGCAGGTTAAAGCCCTCGATGATATTTACCCTTACATCTGCAGTGGCGAAGAGGGAAAAGAAACAAGCTAACGAGCGGAAGGGAGGGAAAAGGGGTAGTTGAGGGGCTTAGGCACCAGTGCGCATGGCACAAATGAGATAGCGCCATGAGCAGCGCGCGAAGCACAGAAATGGTTGCGGTAGAGCGCCTGCATGCAGGGCGCCAACAGGCCGCGCCACGAAGCATGGCGCCTGCGCGCATGGGGCCAGCGCGCACGGCGCCAGGGAGGGCGGCGTCAGCGCACACGGCGTCAGCGCGCACGGCGCCAGAGAGGGCCGCGCTAGAAAGCGTGGCGCCTGTGTGGATGGCGTCCGTGCGCACGGTGCCAGAGAGGGCGGCGCCTGCGAGAACGGCGTCAGCGCACACGGCGCCAAAGAGGGTCGCGCCAGAAAGTGCGGCTCTTGCGCGCACGGTGTCTGCGGATGGAACCAGAGAGCCGTGCGCCAGAAAGTGCGGCACATGCGTGCACTGCGCCAGAGAGGGCGACGCCTGCGCAAATGGCTTCAGCGCGCACGGTGCCAGAGAGGGCCGTGCCAGAGAGGGCTGCGCCACAGAGGGCCATGCTAGAGAGGACGGTGCCTGCGCGAACGGCGTCACGCGCACGGCACCAAAGAGGGCTGCGCCAGAAATCGCGGCGCCTGTGCGCCAGAGAGGGCGACGCCACTGAGTGAAAAAACGGCGCTCATGGCACCAGCGAGCGTGGCGAACAGTAGCTAATAGAAGCTATCAAACTAAGATGAGCTAACAACAGTAAAGAAGCTAAAGAAAATAATCACGAAGTAAGAAAAACACGCTAGCTATGAGCTTGGTAAGGCACGACACAGAGGGGTAAGAACCTAACCTTGTGAGAGCAAAGTTATATGATACAAGGAGCAATAATGAACTACGGAGGAGTTGGCAAGTCGAACAGGAAGGAGGGAGGGACCAAGAGTCCCCTGACTCAGTGCTGGGGAGCATTTGCCAGCGTGGGTAAGGCCAGCTGTTATGAATTAATCAGAGTAATAACAGGTAGTGTAATAAAGGAGTCATGATTCAAGAGTGTCAATACAAATGAGGGCCTAGGCATTTATAGGCACGAACAGAGCTAGTCGAGAACCACGCGAACAAGTTGGGGCAGTACGGTTGGCGAAAGCCACGGAAGCGCCACACGTCTAGGTTTGGGTTCACGAAATGATTCGGAACCGAAGAAGTTGGCCGAGCCTGGACTTCCGAGAGTCGAGGGCATACACGCTCTAGTCAAGCCCAATAAGGAAAAGGGAATTTCCTTACACCACCCCCCCTTCCGGGATGAGACTACCCACATCCGGGGCACGTCGTCGGTGTAAATTGTCCCGGACAACTTTGTGTTCGCCGAGCATAGCTGCAGGGACCCAAAGATCGTCGTCAGTCGTGCGATCGACCCATCGTACAAGGAAATCAACGGCTGCTGTATCTTGATGACCTCGTACGCGATGAACGAGAATTTTGGATGGCTCGATCGTTGGCTCGGGTACTGGGTTGACCGTAGGATTGATGTGTTGACGGTCGAGATTAGTCCTAATTGGGACGAACGGTCGCAGGAGACTGACGTGGAACAAATCGTGGATTCGCCAGTCGGCCGGCAGTTGCAGCTGGGCGGTGACTGGTGTTACCATGCGGATGATACAGAATGGGCCGCTAAATCTTGGTCGTAATTTATTTGGGAGGGGAATTCCCAAATTTATGGTGTCGAGCAGGACCAATTGCCGAGGGGCGAGCGTTAAGTCTCGGCGTCGTCGGTCAGCTTGCTGCTTAGCCCTCTGGTTGGCTTTGAGGATGGCATCTGCAGCTTTTTGCTGAGACTGTTGGAGGTTTTCGACGAACTGCTAAGATCTTGGTGCTGGGTTTTCTATCGGGAGCGATAGAGGGGTTCTCGGGTCTATCCCGTAATTAAGGAAGAATAGGGACTGAGTAGTCGTGGCCGATGGGGCGTTATTGTACGCAAACTCGATCAAGGGAAAGGCGTCTTCCCATTGGGTCGGGTCTGTGCATGTCGTGCGAATCAGCTGCTCCATCGTCTGATTGGTGCGCTCAATCTGGCCGTCCGATTGCAGGTGGTACGCCGTGGACAGATGCACACGTGTGCCGTACTGCTGCCAGATTTTTGTCCAGAATTTGGACGTGAACCGTAGGTCACGATTGCTGATGATTGCCGAGGGAATGCCGCGTGGCCGCACGATGTTTGTGAGGAACAGTTTCGCTGTCTGCTCGGCAGTAATTGTTGTCTTGCACACGGCGTGGTGGGCCATCTTGGTCAACCGGTCAACGACGACGAGAATCGCGCCGTTACCGCTTGGACCAGCTGGCAGGCCAGTGACGAAATCCATCGTCACTTGTTGCCAGGGTTGGCTGGGTGGCTCGAGTGGCTGCAGCAATCCAGCAAGTCGAAGCTGGGAAGACTTCATGCATTGATAAATGGCGCAGGAGGTGACGAACAGCTGCACATCTGTCGGCAGGTCGGGCCAGTAATAACTACGGGTCAGTAATTTGGCGGTTTTGTCGATGCTGTAGTGACCTGAGAAATTCGAGTCATGTGCCTCCTGGATCAGTAGTTCTCGTAGGGTACGGTAGGCAGGAACCCAAATCCGATTGGTCTGGATTTTAGGTAATAGGCCCCTTGCTTGACCGTCAGTTGGGGATGACTGTTGGTGGTGAAGAATGGGTCAGTACTGTATCCGTGGGTGAATAGGCCAGTTAGCAGTGGATTAGCTTGGGTAATTAGGATGGCGGCAGTGTGGACTGAAGGTCGGGTCAGTGTGTTGGCGATGTTGCTAAATCCCCATTTGTAGGTAACCCTGTAGTGGAAATTGGACTCGAGGTAATCAAGCCAGCGAATCTGTCGAGGATTCAGTGTCAGTTGGGCGTGGATGAACTGTAGCGGCTTGTGGTCTGTTCGGATTGTCACATCAGCGCCCCTCAGGTAGCAGCACCAGACTTTGAAAGCATGAATGATGGCGAGTAACTCCTTGTCATGGACAGGATAATTTCGCTCGGACGGGTTCAGCTTTCGTGACTCGTAGGCAATCGGTTGTAGGCCTTCGCCAAAGTCTTGTAACAGGACTGCGACAACGGCCATATCGCTAGCGTCTGTAATGAGCTCGAACGGACGGTGAGGATCTGTAATCCGAAGAACCGGAGGTGAAGTCAGGAAAAGTTTGAGCTGTTCGAACGCAGCCTGCTGCTCTCCCCCCCACTCATTAAACTTGCCCTTCTTCAGGAGAGCTGTGAGAGGGGAAGTTACCCCCGCCATGTTTGGAATGAAATGGCGGACGTAATTGACAAACCCCAAAAAACTCTGAAGTTCGCGGAGATTAGCCGGCGGCTTCTAGTCTTGTATCGTCGCAATTTTCTTGGGGTTGATTTTAACTCCGTCGATGGAAATGACGTGGCCTACAAACTCCCGTTCATATTTGAGAAACTCGCACTTAGAGCCTTTGGTGATGAGTCGGTGCTGCTGCAAGAGAGAGAAAACTGCTTCCAAATCCTTCAAATGCTGCGCCCGGGTAGTGCTGTAGACCAGTATGTCGTCGAGGTACACGATGACGCATTTATCCAGCAGCGGTCGAAAAACTTCGTTCATGGTTAACTGGAACGTCGAAGGCGCGTTTGTTAAGCCAAAAGGCAGAACCGTGTACT